AAAAAAATAAAAAATAAAAAATATAAATTATTTCTTCTCGTTATTATTATTATTATTTTTTAATTCTCTATTTTATTCGACTTTAATTTTTATTATACACGCACGCACACACACATACGCACACATACACACACACATACACACACACATACGCACACGTTCACACAAATATATGTCCGTTCATATATACATACAAATCAAATAAATCTGTATTACATTCCATCTACAAATTGCGTAAGATATAATAAATATTTCATTTACAAATTACGTATTGTAAAATAAAATAATATCATACATGTACTAAGCACCATACAATATAATTGTGATGTTGAGTCAATTTATAAGACATTAAATAACTAAGATTACCAAAAGTTTTTAATAATGCGATAGTAATTGCTTTGTGTCAAAACCAAATAAGTGTTGTTTTGTTGCACGTTTAAAATGTTGAGTTGAATTTAAAGTTTTTATATTGTTTGTTAAAAGCAAGTTCCATAACCGCGGCCCTCGGCAAGATATCGAAAAATCAGCTTGTTTTGATAATGTTTTTGGTATAATAAAATTATTTGTTGAGTATTTAGTTTCGTATTTGTGGTTTAAAGAAAAAAAATAAGTTTGGAAAATGCTTGGTAGCATACCATTTTTAAATTTAAACATGAAAATAAGTATATTAAGAATATTTATTTCATAGACATTAGGCACTCCAATTTCTCTTAGTAGTGGTTTGGCACTAGCGTATTTATTTGCATTTAATATCAAGCGAATTGCTCGTTTTTGTATTTTGTAGATCATATTTAACTTTGAAGGATAAGTACTTGCCCAGATAATGTTGCAGTAGCTGATGTAGCTATGAATAAATGCAAAATAAATATTTTTTAAACAATTTGTGTTTAGGAGATGTTTTGTTTTATACATAATACCAATAATTTTTGATATCTTATTTTCTATTACTTTGATATGGTTACTCCAGCTAAGATGTTCATTAAGAATTACGCCTAAAAATTTGATTGAGTATTCTCGTTTAAGTTTAGTTTTATCAATTAGTAAATCAGGTAGTTTTAAGGGGAGGGTTTCAGATTTTGATAATTTTATAAAAAGAATATATTTACTTTTTTCGACATTTAAGGAGAGTTTGTTAGCCTTAAACCATTCGTTCAGGTTTTCAAGTTCTTGATTAACAGTGTTAAATAATAGGCTAATGTTTGTGTGGCTAAAGAACACTTGCGTATCATCGGCAAAAAGGACAAAGTTAAGTATGTTAGAAGATAAGTAGATATCGTTAATATAAACGAGGAATAATAATGGACCAAGAATTGATCCTTGTGGAACCCCACAAGTAATGTCTTCAAGTCGTGTTACAGTGTTGTTATATGATTAAGCTTGTTTCCGATTATTAAGGTAAGAGCGAAACCATTTTAAATTGTTATTTCTTATTCCATAATTATATAGTTTATAAAGAAGAATTTTGTGGTCAACAGTGTCAAACGCTTTTGAGAGATCGAGGAATACCCCAAGAGTGTATTTATTGTTGTCAAACCCATTTAAAATTTCATTGACAAGTTTGGCTACAGCGTGTTCTGTTGAATGGTGTTTTTGAAAGCCATATTGGTTGTTATTTAGTAGGTGGTGGTTTACTAGATAATTGTTTAGCCTATTGTGCATTATGCGCTCTAATATTTTTGAAATGCATGGCAAAATAGAAATAGGCCTGTAGTTAGAAGCAATCGAATCGTCTCCGCTTTTAAATATAGGAACAACTTTTGCTAGCTTTAGCTGGTCAAGAAACACCCCATTTTTTAAAGACAGATTACAGATATGCAGAACGTTGTAAAAAATGTCTACGATATTCAATAATATCGTAGAAATTTTTTACAACGTTCACGCTAATGTCATCTAGTCCTGGACTTTTGTTTTGTTGTAAGGTATTAAATGCATTTTTAAGCTCATCCGGAGTTATTTCAAGCTCGTTCATGACTGAGGCTTTTTTTTTTTAGATACAGCTTATAACATTTTTTTCCAAAAGTTATTTTATTAGCTAGTTTTTCCCCAATTTTTATAAAATAGTTATTAAATTTCTCTGCAATATCTATTGCCTTATTGGCTACTGTATCATTTTCATCTGTTTTTAAGTATTGCGGGAACACTTTGGTAGCATCTTTTTTTTTCCTGTTACCTCTTTTATTACGCCCCATGTTTTTTTAGTGTTACCGCAATAATTTTCTAATAAATTGCAGTAATAGTTTTTTTAATTTTTCAAATAAATTTTTGTATTGTTTATATATTTTTTCGTTAAATTGTGAGTCAACCAGCCTCGTCAGTATATAAAAAGGTTTCTCTTTTCAATGCTTTTAAAACGCTCATCCAATCATCCAATCTTGATTAGGGTTGACATCATAGTCTTTATACCTGCATCATTGTAGAATATCGTGTGTCTTCCCTTCAGAATTTTTTGTTGCGTTGTTGTTTGAAATTAGACTAAGCTTATTAAATTATAAAGAAATATAAATACAAATACCAAAAAAAATATGAGGTTCATAAAATATAGAATTACAAAAAAAATTGATTTTCATAAATAAAATATTAGGTATACATGTAAACACGGGCAAAAAAAATGTAATAAATATTTGACAAAATTTAAAACTCCGGCTAAAATTATGCCGGATTTGCAGATATATATTTATATATATATATTGATACATCTTCTTTTTTCTCTATTTTTATTCTTAAATATTGTATGTTCTTTTTTACTGTTTCTTTTTTTTCCTAAATTTTCTACTTGATTTATTAACCATATATTACCATATATTATTGTTATGATGTGTAGGGGCTCTATGAAAAGATTAGGTTGGTATTTTACCATCCATATTTCCTTTAAGCCCCTGTCTGTTTATTATTTGGACATTTGTAATTATATTTTATTTTTGGTGAAAGGAAATTGTAATATATATAAACAGCAAAATAAAATTAAAAAAAAAAAAAAAACTTATTTTAGCGAAGTATATCATAGTAGAATTTGTCTGTCTCATATAGTACTTACGAACTTTATCATAGTAGAATTTGCCTGTTTTAGAAGCTATTAAACTAAATAAGAATTTTATACTATCCAGCTATGTAGCGATAGGTAGAAAATTATTCATGATATTATTAATATGAGTGTTTTTATCAAACTTTCCTTTAAAATGTTTATTCTTGAAATTTTCTTTTGAATTTTTTTTGTTTTACGTTATAATTAATCTAAATATTAGAATCTTTATATAAATTAATTTACATTATTTAAAAACACTTCTTTTCTCGTTATGAAGTTGTGAAAGTAATTTTATTTATTTTATTATGAAACTTGTAAAACACTCGAAAAGTTTTGTTATATTATTTTGTTATGAAAAACAACTTGTAAAACACATGAAAAGTTTTGGTTTCGCGTTTTTTATAAAATCAAGACCCAATTTATTTACATTTCTTTAAACCATTTATACTCATTTTCAAGGCCGGCGCGATAGGAATGTGTGTGTGTGGGGGGGGGGGGGGGGGGAGGGGGAGGGGAGGGGGTGACACCCCCATTAATTTTTTTTTTTTTTTTTTTATTCTTTATTACAATCATTATTACAATTTCTATTATAACTTGCGAATAAAACGTAAGACATAAAAAAAAAGAAATAAATAATATTTACAATAAAGATTTCGTTAACAATAGAAATATGACAATAAATATAACAATAAAAATTAGGAATAAAGAATGCGGAAACTCGAAGAAGTCCTTGAGGTCTTGTCGTAGAGAACCGCTGGAATCAAAACGCTTTAAATGAATTCATTTTTATTGATTTTTTGTAAATGTTTATAAGCTTTTGGATTGGATCTGTTCCGATAAATAATTATATAAACCGTTGCATAGAATAGTTAAAAATAATATACTTCAGTATAATTATCGATGTGTTTGATGACGTCATAGTGTGTTGGTGATGTTAATATAAATCGAATAGATTAAAAAAAAATAATAATTGAATTGAACATTTCTTGCATTAAAATTGTAGAAAATAAAATCAGAGTGGGGTTCTTGAATTCTTGTTGATAATTAGCTCTTGTTCTAATATAGTTTTTTTTTTTTAAATATATATTGTGTTTGCATCTTTATCATACAAGCGATCATAGGTGGTATCACCGAATCCCAATCCAGCCCAACGATTGCCAAGCAGTTATAG